CTTTGTAGTAAATGTGGCAACTTTTACCAGTCTGCTTTCATCCATTACATGGGTGAAAGCCCTGCTGGCTTCCCGCTTCTCATGCAATACCCTCACTTCCACACCAAATGTGCCAGGTATTTTACCTGGCACGTGACAACCTGTAGCAATGGCTCTGTTGATGGGCTTGCTGTGTGCAAGATGCTGTGATCTGTCCTTCAGGCAGTTCTATGTATTTGGGATCTGATCGAGAGGAGGTCCAACACTGAGCTGGGAGTGGGGTACTCTGCCTTGTGCACTGGAAAGAAGGGAAAACCCAAACCCATGGCTGGATGTCCTACAACTGTGCTAATGGGAATATTAGATTATAAAAAGGTGCGTGTATATTGGGTATATAAAGGAGTTCTAATCCTCCTGGATTTCCTGTTCGTTCATTAGCATCCGGCCCATGTGAACTTAAAGAAATAAATCCCCACTCTGTTTCCCCTCTGCATACAAGTGAAAAAAACCCCAGTTCCTAAAGTTGCCAGGATTCCTACTAAAAGTATCACACTAATCTACATAGCTTTAAGAAAAGGAGTAATTATAGATTCCTTTTCATAGGACAAACCTACAGCAGTGGCTTTACTTTTTGCTCTTCCAGGAGGGCACCGTCTGCAATCCCTTTGGGTACAGCTTTGGGAGTACTGTCTGGAAGGACATCACTGCTGCTGGGAGCTTTAACACTGGGTCTGCTCTCCTGGCATGCCAGATCTTTCATTAAGGTATAGGTGGCAGGAGACCTAATACTGGAATAGTTATTTCTGGGTCTGTAGCTCAGCATCTTAATGCAGAAAGGCCATAGCAGAGAAAATAAAGAAATGCTGGATAAAATGGATACACTTCTAAACAGGAAAAACAAATAACTAGTGCAATGAAGACCTTTAGAAACTAATAAATATGTAAGGTAACTTGAGATTTCCAATCCCTATCCGTGGCTGTCTCATCAATCTCTGCGTTTGCAGGCATTTGCAGGTTGTGCTTTTTCTTTAACAATTAATTATCTGAAAAGATGAGCAATTATAATAATTTAATAGAGATTAAAATAGTGTTTGTTAAACAAAAGTAACAAGTGTGGTATTACTGCAAAATTTAACTCATGGATCTGCTATTGGATTTATGGGGGCATGTAGAAAGGTATTTTTTATAGTATCCTTTAGAGAATGATAATAGACACCATGTTTCTCCTTTACTCTTAGAAATAAGAACTGTTCTGTCTTATATTCCACTGGGCAACATGTGCAGTTGTGAGTACTGAGTTTTTAATGTTGATCACTAACTTAGGAAAGCAATCTCTGCTTTATTGACCTTAATACTTGTGAAGTATTAGGTGCACAATCACTCTTACTGTTCTTATATTAATATTCTCAGGGCTGTTCTTATATGAATATACTTATGTTCTCATATGAATATTCTTATATGAATACTTTTCTTATATGAATATCAGGGCTTCGTTTCCAGAAAGAACTTATTTGCTATTATAAAAGTTTTAATGAGGCAGTATTAGTTGATAAGGTTTTCCACTTAAATTTTATAGAAAATCTGTGTGGATTTCAGTCACCTTAATAGGAGCACAAGCACACTTGAAGTAGCTTTAAATGAGTTAATTTGAATGGTGTAAATAGTTTTGCTTGTGATTTATCTTTCCTAAAAGCTGTAAAATGCATGTAATTGAGCTGCTGAGGGATGCTGTGCCATTCAATAGGGCACATACAGAGCACTTGCCCTTCTGGCTTAGTTCCTGGTCAGTTTGTGCATTCTCTCCACTGAAACTTCCCCTGACGTCTCTGGTACGGTGCAGCATCAAAAGCATGTGCAATGCCTTTTACATCTTACAGAAATGCATACAATTCAACAAACATTTGAAAGCATGACATGTACATAAAGTCTTACTTTTTAGATGTGTTTAGTGTCTTGAATCTTCGAAAGCGTTGAAATCAACTAATGCTGCAGCAGAGATGGTAATTAGATTTTGCTGTCATCTGAACAGTAATTGATAGTTATTTTGGACTCTCTGATGTGCTTGCAATCAGGTGCCATTTGCTGAGGGATGATACTGGGTTGTGAGTAGCTAGAAATTTGTTAGATTTATACCTGAAAATAAATTTGTGCGACTAACATTAGGCAAAGGCAGTCTCTTTGATGTAGGCTGATTGGCTTTTATTGTCATGCTTGTGTTCATCCTTTCTCTTGCCTTCCTCTCCTCCAGAGCCTCGATTGCCTGTTGGGGACCAGGTGAAGCTACCTTGGTGCATGCCTGGACAGCCTCCAGTGGCCATCTGGTGCTGCTTAGCTGGACCTTCTGGCCCAGAAATGAGATCAGCACTTTCTCATGGTCACTGGTCTTTGGCTTGTACATGTAACAAAGAGCTCCTGAAGTAAAAGAAATGAGAACAAGTCATTGTCTTTGTGCTTCACTCCCTTAACCAGTTTCTTGGAAAAAATAATTTTCAAATGTCTGTATTCATAGTATCTTTGCGTATTATTTTGAGAAGACTGTACTTGGCCGAGTCAAAAGGCACAATAGGTCTGAGTGACATCTTTAAATGTTTATTGCTATTAGGAACCTGACAAATACAATATAAATTTTCACTCTTGTCCAGTTCTGAACTGGCAATTGCCAATTAGAATTGCTCACCAGGCTGGAGTCAAATTAGCAGCACTTGGTAATATTTGCTTTAGCATTTCTAATCTTAGAAATTGGGGAAGAAATTGCATATCTTGCTTATGTGACATAGATGTACCCATTCCTCTTTCATTTCATGATGGGCTTTTCCACACGAGATTTTCCTCTTCTCCCTCAACTATCTTTGATTCATAAACAGTAATGGGAATTTTATTCAAATAAGCAATGCCTGTTAAAGGAACTGGAGTTTCTTTCATACCAGTCATATAAAGTTAATCAAGAATCGCATGTGTGTGAAAACCAGCCCTAAAGCCTCTAATTTTTGTTTCTAGATAATTTTTGTTTCCTGCAATTATTGTGAGAAGATGAACACCTATTTAATGAGGTTCCTCTGCTGGATTTCTTAGGTGACACTGTAAACTCATATACTATACTACTAGTAATAGTATAATAGATGATTATACTAACCTGAGTCATACTACAGTATTTTTATTATGTTTTCTGGACTTTCCTTTTCTTCTAATATATTTAGAAGAACTATATTAGAAGAATAATATATTTCCTTTGCTAGAATATTTAAGAAAGCAGATGTGAATTTCCTTTTTGTTGATCTGGTATGTTTTTTCTGGGAGTAGATGCCATTAGACTAACGAAAATTATTCCTCTTGAATGAAAAGTGTGCTTGAGCATACAAGAAGAGGACAGTAGTCATTACCCAGGGAAGGAAAAGCACAAGCAAATTCTTAAATACTCTGACCTATGTTGTACCTGCAGGCTGAGAACCTGGCTCCTGATGGTCCCCTGTAGTTCCAAAACTCTGTGAAAACACAGGCAGGAGCAGTGGGGAAACTGATGAGGCCAGGAGATGAACTAAAGGGAAAAGTAGGACTGCAGTATACATGGAAAAATTCTCTTGCTCTGTTTCCAGTTGGCAAACTCCTGATTGCTTTTTTTTTTTTAATGGTATCTGTGGTCCAATTGTTAAATTTAAGGTAGATACACTGGGAAAAGTCATCACCTTTTCAAGTAAGAAACACAAGGAATAGTTGCCAAATTTTGCATTTTAAAGGGAAAACATTCAAGCATTAAATAGTGATTACTGTGGAAAAGCTTCAAACTAAACTTTCCCTAGGTATTTCTATTTTCTTATTCACAAAATAAGTAAAAAGCCCCATGCATTTTAAGTAATATATGCCAAAAGCTGTCAAGCTATTTATATACAATTAATTTAAATCTAAAGGGACTTGTTTAAACAAAACCAAACCAAAAAACCTCTGGCAAACTCCAAATATAATATGATCAGATGTGGAACTCAAATGATGGGCTTATTTACCTGAAGAAGAAGAAGTTAAAAAGTTGAGATGCAGATATAGAATCACAGAATTGTTTATATTACAAAACTTAGGTTGGACCTTTGAGTTCATTGAATGCAACCATTAACTCAGGAGTGATGGGTTCACCACTAGACAGTGTCCCTAAGGTGCCACATGTACCCTTTTAAATACCTCCAGGGATGGTGACTCCACTGCTTCCTGGGCAGTCTCCTTCAGTGCTTAACAACCCTTTCTGTGAAGAAGATTTTTGTAATACCCAATCTAAACCTCCCCTGGTGCAACTCAAAGCCATTTCCTTTTGCCCTATTGCTTGTGACCCAGAGGACTGGCAGACATATCTCCAATATTCTGGACTGGTGATATTAAACTCTTCTGCTGTGAAAGGAGGAGATGATCAGATTGGCAAATTAAAACTTGGGTTGTTTTGTTTTTTTGAGGAAGCAGAGGTATTTTCTTATCTTTCTTTTTTTTGTGTCAATGTTGATTGCAATGAAAGACATGACTATTGCTTTGTTAATATGCATGTGGATAAATGGACGAGTGTGCAATGTAGCTGCTGAAGGACCTGCTTATCTCAGCTGTTTTCTTTCTCAGTTTTGCCTAAGCTGAGAAGCACATCTTCACAACATTTTTGTCTTTGTAAGCCTTGGCAGCCCAGATTCCAAATCTGATATCTTATTTTTTTCTGGCAGTGTGTGATGTTGGAAACTAACTGTGGGAGGGCCACATGCAATCCTCAGTTTTGTGATGTACCCTGTGGCTGCCTGTCCTTTTTAAAAAGAGATATGACCTTCAGAGACTACAGGTCCCAGCAAGCAGTGCTTCATTATGATCTGATAAGCAAGTGCTCAGATCTGATGTGTGCTGCGTGTCAGGGCGTGCTGGCTGCATGAGCCACACCTCAGCATTTGAGATAAGGGTGGCTGCAGACTTGCTCCAGCCAACACAAAGTAGGCGCAGCTTTGGACAGAAGCTGATTTTTTTTTTTTTTTTTCGTCTGCCCTTCAGTTTTGAGAACTTACCTAATACTGCAAGGCAACAGGATTCTGGTATATAGCATGATTGCCCATCATGTTGAGTGTGCTTTTGGTTTCTGGGTTCTCCCAGGTGCTTCCTTTTCTCCCTCTGTGATGGCTGCCCTCATATGCTGTTCAGGAGTGGACAAAGCTTATGGAAGTGCTGATTGCTTCAAGTAAGGGTGTTGTTGCAAGAGATTCAAGCCCGTTTTTACTTGCTAAAGAGATCTGGCTCATTCAGGCAAGCTTTGGATAAACAGTCTGACATTTGGGGTGCTTTATCTGATACAATTTTTTAAAGTTTGTCCAGTATGAGAAGAGACTACCTCACTTTGACCTGGACAGCTGAGGAAGCAGCTTTGACACACCCTTAGGTGCAATTTAGACACCTGTTCTGAAATGCCTTCAGATTAAGAGTTCAAAAGCTGACTCTGCTTGGATGCAGTTCAGGATTGGAGCAATCCCTTTCTCCCAGTTTTAGGCTAGATGCCTCCCAAGATGTCTGGATGTAGCTTACTTCTCTGTAGCAATTGCTTTCTAAGCTCTGTTCTTCAGCTGGATCTGCATCTGAACAAGTGAAAGCATGATGAGAAGTTCTTTTGGAGTTTCACTGTATCTCAGATGTTTCTTGGGAAGTGTGAAAAACCCCAGGTGACTCTTCTGAGATTTCTAGGTGACTTCAGTTTCTGGTATCTGTTGTAAAATACAAAGCCAAGGTGTCAAGTGTCCTGCACTATGTCATCTTTATTTCCTGCTTTGTAGTCTTGTTCAAAGAAAGTTTAGCTGAGTTAAGAGCTTTTCATATTCTTTTAAAATCCATATAAATATCACTTACCACCACAAGATCAACAACAGCTTGATCAAGAGGCCTGTTTGTCCCAGAATTCCAGCTCAGTCCGTGGTCAATAGTGGACTCTGAGGGAAAGAGCAAAAATGGTATTTTATGTGAGAAAAGAGCCTCACGTTGGAGTACTTTCTTGCTTAGGAGTTTGAACTTCCCAAGTTAGCATTTGCTTCTGGATCACAGTGACACAGATGTTCCTGCCGACATATCCTGTCATCCTGTATCCTATATTTGCACTTTTGCACATTAAACATAAAACCAAAAACATTACTACTTGGATTTAGTTCTTTGTGTAGATGGCTGTATGGGTAGCTGAGAGGCTGCACAAAGACAAAACAGATGCTGTTAACTCCTTTCTGCTTGATGGTTTGTGTATTTTGGAACTTGTAGATAATTCTCAAGGGTGCAGTTTGGTCATGTATTAGCACTATTTATAATTTTTATTGAACCCTGAGATCTGACTTTTATCTCAGCTTGATAAATAACTGACCCTTTGGCTACTAGAGTGAGGATAAATACATACATAAAGATGAGCAGTTAATGAATAAGTAGCTGGTCAACAGAGATGACAGTGGATAAAGATACCTGTCAAATTCTTAACACCATAAAACTAAAGCACATTTAATCTGATCCAATGTCTGAATAATTTAATTTCCATTGTTTTCAAAGGAGTGCCTTCTTAGCCTGTATGATATGAATTCTTATCTCTGGATCCTTTTTCTTTTTCCCCTCCCCCCGCTTTTTACTCCCTGTATTTCCTTTATAAGCACAGTTAGGTTATTTGATCTGACTACCTTCTGCAGCACATTTTTTTGTAAAAACAGCTTTGTGGAGAAGAGTGCCACCATGGTATACTAGGAACAGACTACTGGATAAAGGTAAGGTGATAAAGATTGGTCCAATGCTTTTAAGGGAATAGCCAGGTATTGAAACCTGTGTTTTTACAGAGGAATACTGTAGTAAGGAAGCTCAAAAAGTCTCTAATAATGATGTGGAGAAGCCTTGCCAGTTCTCTGCTGTTATTATAGGGCATATATATATATGCCTATACATAGGGCATATATGCCTTCTTTTCCTCCCACAAAAAGGTGTACTGTTTGATTGATTTTTAACCACAGCAAGTTTTAATTAATTTATACGTGTAGGTAAATGTATCAAACTGCTGCACTGACAAATCTATAATGGGATTTTTATCCAAGCCCCATTTCATTCTGACTTTCTGGCAGACATGAGTCTGTTCCCCTAAGGCACTTCAACTGTGCTGTCTTTTCTACTCCTGGATATCCTCTTGCTCTGTCTGACTCCGCCTCAAAAATGTCTGTATTCTAGGACCTGGTTTTCCTACAGTTGTCCCCTGGTGCAATTACAGCACGATTAAAATATGCAGTGTGACTGAGACCTTGATCATGTTCTAACAAGAATATAGCCTTAGACATACAGCCCAGTTACAGCACGGTAACGATGTCACAGAACAACCCTGCTCATCTTGCAGCACAGGGTGGGGCTTTATGGGCTTTTCCTTGGCATATTTCTAGTCACACCACTTGCAGTCATTGCATTTCAAATGTCATTATCCCAGGTGCCTAGATCAGCCCCAGGAATGAACTTACAAATGCCCCTACAGAGCTTTTTCAGCACTTTGCTGCTGTCTGCAATTCTAAAGAAGTAATAGTGCTCTTTGAAGTTTCCTCTTATTTTCAAATGCCTAAGTACTCACAGAGTTAAAAACTTGATTCCTAAAAAAGTGAACATATGTATTTGTTATATATTTTAATTCTGTGATCCTGACCTTGAGACCAATCTCTAACTAGTGGTTTTCAAAAATAATTTTTTTCCTTAAAACCAGGTGGTCCACTAGCTGAACACTCAAAACTTCTTAATTTGTCCACTTTTGCCCCTTCCTGGGAAGTGTCCAATACTATCCACTGTCAGAGACAGGATCCTGGACTAGATGGATCACTGGTTTGTCTCAGCTGTACACCTTTTATGTGTCATGCTTAAGTTATGACCCCTGAGACCATTTCACAAGCTATTCCAACTACAGAAGCATTAAACCCCCACCCCCCACAAAATCCTCTGACCTTTCTATGTTCTTCTATTACCACATCTTGTTCTGAGTCTGTGGCAGATGCGATGGGAGGAAAAAAAGCTATTTGCATTAAGTCCTTTTACTTTAACATCTTAGCTCTTGGCATATCCTTGTTTAGCTCTGAAAGAATGGGAGATGGCCCAAAGATGAATGGCAGATAAAAACAGGTCAGTGCCTCCTACTGGGAGACTTACCATGGAAAAAAGTCGCTGCACTCCAGATGCCCCTGTGGGGGAGGAATGTTTCCTCATAATGCTTTTAAATGTGTTGCATTGCAACTGTGCTTCCTTTCTACAGAGCTTTACCACACACAGCCACAAACACTGGATCCTGTATACTTGAGAGATTCTCTGTGCCCTTGTAGTCACAGCTAGCAGTGACAGCACTGACAGTCAAATCAATGCTTCCTTGAATTCTCCATGTTAGTAAGCCTTGTCATTCTTCAGGAATCTGTGATGTTCAGAACAATGCCTGCTATGTGGTATGCAAAAAATGTATTTCTTATAATTGTAGAGTTTCTTTCTTTCAGGGAAATAGCTTCCATAGAAAGTGGTATGGGATTTCTCACTCTGAAGATGAGAGATGTTAATAGCAATGTTCTTAACATCAGTTCTTAACAAACAGTGGTTTTATTTAGAGTTTCAAGTGCCTTGGATTTTCTCTAAAGTTCTGCTCGTTCCTGTGCCTATGCTCTGCCATAGCAGCCTTTGTGACCTGGAGAACTTTCAGCTGTGTGCTCTAGGAAGCAAGAAAAGGAATCTTTCATGGAAGTACTGATCAGAACAGGGTGCTATCCCATCTCTTCTGGGGCTGATTTCCATGTTTTCTTTGAATTTTTGAATTTCTGTTATTTGACTTGAAGACAGTCTTCACAGTCTTCATTTTTGACAAACCTGAACTGTTCTGCAGAAAGCAGACACACTCAAGAAGTTGTGCATAGTCCAAAATCCAGTTGCTTTCAAAGTGATCTCTTACAGAAGGAATTTCTTTTTCTTTTTCTTTTTTTTTTTTTTTTTTTTTTTTTAATGTCTGAGTTCTATTCACATATTTGTTCCTTGGCTGGGATATATTTTAGCTGGTTTAGTGAGCTGAATCAGCTCTTCCACAAATGAAATGAATACCACAGCCAACAAAAAGGGAGTAAGAGTGTATGGCTGGAGCAGGAAAGAGAGGGAATAAGTTGTAAGTTTTTTTGTTCTTTGTTTCTAGCTGCAGTGCTTAAATAGATAGCCTTTTATTTTCCTTTTTTTTTTTTTTTTCTGACAGTTTTTCTTTCCATTTTATATACAATTCAGCAAAGAGTTTGTGCTTAGTTTCAAGAGGGCTTTGACAGGACTTTCACTGACTTCAGTGAAATAGATGGGGTGTCTGAGCGGACTTAGAGCTTTTGGTCAGGAACTGGCTGCGAGGCAGCAAAACAGCCAAAACTGAGTATCTGTTGGACTACTAAGCAGGAGAAATTTGGGTTCAGATAGTGTCCTGTGCAGCCTCCAACTTCCATTCTCTTGATAATCCCCAAGCAGTTTAATTGGGCATTCCTGCCAGATGTTTCTTGGCTTCCACAGATTTTTATAAGCTTTTCTCTGTCTTCAGACTCTTTTAGAAACAAATGACACTGTCCTACAAGAAAGAAGTTTGGGACATCTGAGGCAGAAGTGCAGCACCTATGGAAGATCAATGCAAGTCTAGTTTTTCAGGCTGAAATGTTATGGATTTACATGCTGTCCAACAGTGAGAACTATGCTGCTGTGTGAGATCACAGGTTGTGGGTTTGGCTGCAAGAATCTCTATCCATCCTGATACATCCGGTGACAACTGAATGATGCTGGTTTATGAAATCAGGAAGAATTTTATATGGCTGGGCTTTCGCAGCCTAAACTCAAGGACAGCAGTTGAGATTTGATTCTTGTGCAGTGCACGGCAAGCTTCTTGTTTAGCTTTTAATATGCATGGGCAAACGTTAAGTTATAACCTAATCGAGAATTCATATTGTACTCTAGGAAGTGACTATTTGCTTCAGCAATTCTGTTGACCAGTACTGTGGAATTTAAAACTATGTATCCCGAAGAAGGCATAGAAACATAATTTGAATGCAAACTGTATTAAGTGCTCACATCCGGTATCCTAGCAGGAATTTCACCAAACAGGGGAAGTATTCATTGAACTAGGAGCAAAGCAATGTCAAGTTGAGAAGGAAATTACTATGGAAATTAGTTTTAAAAGCCTGAGGCAGATGTAGGGAGAGGCACATTGTACAAGAATTTTCCTCTTGCTCTCTAGCTTTTATGGCCTTTCCATTACTTCAGCTGCAGCATGTAAGAAATCTTTGGCTTGGAAGACAGTCACTGAATTTCAGCATTTTTGTGCTATTGCTATGGGCTGGCTTCCCTGTTATGAGACATTAAAGCCACCTCAGCTAGGACTGGGGCATGTGCCTGTATGGCAACAGCTTTGCTTGGGCACACCAGAGGTCCTTTCAGCCCAACACTTTGTCTCTCTGTGGTCAGTAATGGATGCTTAGGAGAAAAAGAGAAGTATATTGACTGCTTTCCTCCTATACTATTGCAGTGCTTGGCAGGAGCAGATGACTGGGTTGGTAGATTTAATAGTCCTTTATTTTTTTTTTCTCCCCCATAGATTTGTCTTTTTTTTTTTTTTTTTTTTTTTTTTAAACTGTGCATTTCAAGAATTCATATCTTGTAGCATTGAGTTCTACAGCTAACCTGTGCAGTGTTAAGAAACCTCTCCCATCTACCTACTGATTAAGCATAAAGCCCCACCATTTCCATGTTTTAACAAACGGCAAAATAAACTGCCTATTAATTTCCTTTAATATGCTTTTTATGATTTCATCTTAAATTATAGATTATGACTTAGACCATTTCTTCTGCTTAAAGATTTTTGAGCAACGTGGAAGTGGAATTGTTGGCTTAGCGCATTGCAGAAATATGGCAGTACAAGAAAAAAGTGATATTTTTTAGAAAGAGCAGACACATCCTCTAGTGTCTTCTCACAAGTTCTGGAATATTCCTGAGGCAGCAGTGAATTCCTGATGCATTTCTGGAATGGATTGATTGCAA